CATCAGCCCCAAACCCTAAACCCTAAACCCTCAACCCTAAACCCTAATCCCTAATCCCTAAACCCTGGACCCTCAACCCTAAACCCTAAACCCTAAACCGCACTGCAGGTTTGGTTCGGGTCTATCGGATTTTCGGTTCGAGGCACCGTCGGGTCTTTGAAGTGGGACCTACTTGATGAGATGAATCCTGAGGTTCAGGTTTTAGGGTTTAGGGTTTAGGGTTACCCATAATAAGGAATTTACCATAATTCCCATAGCTTAGGGTCCTTAAGGTCATGCAGTCATCAACAGTAGGATCTCAGTCAGGCTGCTGGCTCCGAGCCTCCTGGGCAGGAGTTTCTCAAAAACCAGGTACCTCGAAAACTAGAAGCCTAGTTAGGGTTTAGGGTTTAGGGTTTAGGGTTTAGGGTTTAGGGTTTAGGGTTTAGGGGTACCTCGAAAACTAGAAGCCTAAATTAAAGGAAACGTCAGGTGGGCAGTTTAGGGTATATAGGGCTTCTATAAGGCTTTTATAAGGTATATAAACCTTCTATAAGGCTCCTATAACGGTAACTACCCACCTGAAAATGTCCTAGACTAAACCCTAAACCCTAAACCCTTTAAGCCGTAACCCCCTAAACCCTGAAGCATCGACAGGATCAATCGTACTGCTTCTGAGGACTCCTGCATTCGGTTTCTTTGGACAGTAAGCCCTAAACCCTCACCTTAAACTCTAGACCCTAAACCCTCAACCCTGAACCCCAAAATCCAAAACCCTAAACCCAACCCTGAACCCTAAAGACGGCCTAAAGCCTATAAACCCTAAACCCTGAACCCTAAAGCCTAAACCCTGAACCCTAAAGCCTAAACCCTGAACCCTAAACCCCAAACCAAAAACCTTAAAGCCTAAACCCTGAACCCCAAACCCTGAACCCTAAAGCCAAAACCCTGAACTCTAAACCCCAAACCCCTAAAACCCCAAAAACCCTGAGTCCTAAAGCCTAAACCGAAGGCTCGGAATCGGAGCTCTGGGTCTGGAGACGAAGATACGGGCGGTTTCGGTTTAGGGTTTAGGGTTTAGGGTTTAGGGTTTAGGGTTTAGGGTTTGCTGAGTGTGCCAAGCTCTGACGTGAGGGTTTGGGGTTTACGTCTTATAGGGTTTAGGGCTTCTAGGGGTTTGGGTTTAGGTCTTAGGGCTTATAGGGCTTTGGGCTTATACGGTTTCGGGTTTAGGGCTTTTAGGGTTTAATTAGGTCTTATAGGGTTCAGGGCTTATAGGGGCTAGGGCTTAGGGTTTAGGGCTTAAGGTTTAGGGCTTATAGGGTTTTGGGTTTTTGGTTTAGGGTTTAGGGCTGATAGGGTTTAGGGCTGATAGGGTTCAGCGTTTAGGGCTTATAGGGTTCAGGGTTTAGGGTTACATGCCTAGTAGTGAAACCCAATCCCTTTTACTCCGCACTGTCTTGGACTTCTGGTGAACCCGCAACCCTAAACCCTAAACCCTAAACCCTCAACCCTAAACCGTCGATCGCTTGCTCCGTGGCCTTGGACACTTCGCCGTTCGTGCCTTTACCTGGGATCATGGCAAACGCTTCAGAGCTTCGAGTTTAGGGTTTAAACCCTAAATCCCAAGCCCCTAAACCCTTCACCCTAAACCCCTAGACCCTAAACCCTAAACCCCAAACCCCTAAACCCTAAACAGTTTAGGGTATAGGCCTCCGGCTTCAGGGTTCAGGGTGTAGGGGTTTAGGCTCTAAGGTTTAGGGTTCAGGGGCCTGAGGAATTGGAATAGGTCTTTGGGGCCACATACTTTTCAGGACTCTTTTTGGGGGGGAACGAAGGACTCCGACCCTTTTTTGAGGCCTGCAAGGAGAAACCGGATTTAGGGTTTTCGAGTATTGGGGTTTGGGTTTGAGGGTCAAACGCTGTAACACCCCAAACTGTGAGCCCCACGCAACAGAAGAACGAACCGCACCTACCCTGAACCTTGAACCCTACAGCGTCGACCCTACAGCCGTGCAGAAGACGAAACCCAAAAGATTGAACAACTATTCGGAGTTGTCCAACTTCAGACTTGGCGTTTGTCTACTCCTACAGTGCGAATAAAGCAAGCACCTTTGACATTGTCACTATCCCCCACCACTTCTGGTTCAGGGCATGGTTGGTCCAAAAAGCAGGAACTCACGCTGGAGGCGACAATGCTCAACATTCAACCCTACTTTACTTCGGACACCAGCGTTTGTGCAAACCCTAGAATGTCGAATGGACAATGCAGCTCAGAAATGACAATGGCTCTAATTGAGGAACGGTCGGTCGCGCTTGCCATATCAAGGAACACAAGCACGAGTTTCAGAAAGCAGGCAACCCTGATGGTGAAACCTAGACCATAGGATTACTATTGCGATTTCCCACAATGGACCCTTCACCGAATGTTGTGCCCCATAAAATTCTTTTTGGGTCGCGCACCAACGTTTGGAACCTTTGCTCATTTCTGTAGAGCCTTTCAAAACCGAGGCCGTATACGAACCTTTATAGGAATCACTTGTAGGAACCCTTACAGGAACCTTTTTCGTCACCCCTTCTAGACCCCCTTAGACCCTAAACCCTAAACCCCCAAAACCCGAAACCCCAAAACCCGAAACCCTAAACCCCTTAGACATAGCAACCCCCCCAAACAAAAAAAACCGATTCCCCTGAAACATCCGCAACCCTCGACCCGGAGCCTGAACCCTAAACCCTAAACCCTAAACCCTCGACCCGGAGCCTCCTTCAGGGTTGCCTTCTAAGGGTTCCCTTAAAAGGGAACCCTAAAAGGAACCCTTTAAAGGGAAGCCTAAACCCAAAACCCTTAAAGGAACCCTTAAAGGGAACCCTAAACCCTTAAAGGGAACCCTTAAAAGGAACCCTTAAAGGGAACCCTAAACCCTTAAAAGGAACCCTTAAAGGGACTTCAAGGAACCCTTAACCCTAAACCCTTAAAGGAACCCGAAAAGGGTGTCCTTGTCGGGCCGGGGCACTCGCACTGGCGACTTTTGGAGCATCTTCGTTCTCGGGGCCGGGTAGGTCCGGCTGGAGAGTGTGGACCTTTCTGCCGTCGGTTTAGGGTTTAGGGTTTAAGTGGTCGACTAAGGGTTTAGGGTTTAGGGTTTGAGGGTTTGAGGTTTAGGGTTTAGGGCTGAGGGTCTATAGGGTTGAATAGGGTTTAGGGTTGAGGATTTAGTGTTCAGGGTTAAGGGCTTAGGGGCGTAATAGAGAGGCCTCAGTAACTAGAAGAAGGCTCTCTGCTATAAAAAAATAGGCGAAACCGACGAAACCCTCAGGAATGGGATTAGTATTTAGTTGTTGTGTTGTATGTGTGCATGGCAGCTTCTTTACGTTCGGAGTACCTTGCTTAACTAGTGTCCTACTATGCAGGGTCTATGGTGCGGCAGCAGTCGCAGTCGCAGTGGCCGTGGCCGTGGCCGTGGCCGTGGCAGTGGCGGTGCGGTTGGCGGTGGCAGTGGCCGAGCAGCAAGAGCAAGAGCAGGAGCAGGAGCAGGAGCAGGAGCAGCAGCTGTAGCAGCAGTAGCAGTGGCAGTATCAGTAGCAGTAGCAGTAGCCGTAAGAATAGCAGCAGCGGCAGCGGCAGTAGCAG